TAAAAAATTTGAACTTTTTCCATATTGGGCAGAATTTCGAATGATCATTATTTTACCGATATCTTAAGGGACGACATTAATCCTTGATTCTTTATTTTGCAGCCTGTGAATAATATATTCGCTGTCTGGCATCAGGGTCCTTAAAGCACGCACCTCCGCAAAGGAGCAACCCACTCGAGTTGACTGATAGCACCCTCCGACTACACCCCCCCCCGACTGCACCCTCCGACAACACCCTCCTTCGTGTGTGAATGTGCGTTAAATGAGAAGCCGGCAATGAGCTTGCAATAATGTGATAAGCGCAACGGAAATGAAAATAAGTATAAATGTAAGTGCAAAGGAAGCGGTGACACAGGCACACAAAGGGAAAAATATAAACAGAGCGGGAGCGGAAGTTGCAACAACAACCAGAACAGCAAAAAGCCCGAGGAGCACTTAAAGGCGAGAGGAGGTGCCACCGTGAACTTCAATAACAGTACGCAGAGCGGCAGAGAGGCAGAGAGGCAGAGAGGCAGAGAGGCAGAGCTGCAGACTGCAGACAGTGACGGAGCCAAAGAGATGGGGACAGCAGGGGAGCTCGTGTGCGGATCATCAGGCAATAAAAGCAGAATTGCCGGTGGAGTCAGGACCTCTGCACTCACCCTCTTGCCTGCCCGCCTGCTCACATGTGGTGCTTTTTGCCGCAATTATTTTTATTGGTTCGGGGCAAAAATTTACGTTTCATATTTCCCGGCTGCACCGAACCGACTTACGGGAATGGCGTTAATTTCGTTACGGAAAATTTCAACGACTTTACACGAGAGCATGTGCGGCAACCAGACCAGCTTGATGGGAAACCGATTGATGAAAGGGGAAAGGGTAGTTGGCACTGCGGCGCCACTGCACACAATAGAGCTTAATATTGAAAAGTTTCGAGAATCTTAATTAAAGGTTATACCCGTAAAGACCTTCTTTAATTATGGGTATTTGTGCGGCAGTGGTGCTAAGTGGATGAGCCAAGGATACACGGCTACGGCGGGGCCATGTAAATTTGATCTCATCGCTTGAATGTTCTAATGCGCCACAAATGAGTACGTTGACTTATTTGTTTTTGTTGAATTCCCCGGAAAATATACATACATTTATGTAATTAATTAATCCATTAACCTATCCTATGAAATTTCAATATGCACTCAATATTTATTTATTGACCACTTTATATGACATATTTCGTTTATTCGATATGCACTACATGCAGACATACAAACATCATTAATCAATGTACATTCAACAGACCAGCGCAAAAACCGAAGGAATTCGCACTTATTTCATAATTAAACAACAAAAACCAATTAAATTTAACTTAATCAAATTACAAATTGACAATTTGAAATGCAGAATCATCTACTTTACGTTCAAGCCCCTACCATTGAACGAATACATTTCAACTGAAACTCAATCGAGCTCATCGAGTATCGACATCTTTTAATGCCTCGGACGCAATCAATAAAAATACGTGTGAAAGAGGGCGGAGGGGGCCGTGGGAATGGGCAGTCTTAATAAAAAATGTAAATTTGTGTAGAAAAATTCTACACAATAAATACAAATTGGATGAAATGTCAAGGCATTAGACAAGAGAGTAGACTACTGAAAGATGAAAGACCATAGGGAGATAGGGAGCATGGAGGTTAGAGTGAACCCAAGCGCGTGAAATGTGAATCGAAAATTGCCTATGGACATGGAAATCTTCCATGAGCTACTATGTACACAAAGGAATACGTACTCATTAAATATTCAGTTATATAATTCTTGTAGCTTTATTTACATCTTGCTGTCTCTCAGAACTTGTGAAAGGGAAAATCGAGTTGGGTCCATCCCAAAAGCCTTCCCACGCCTCATCGGTGGCTAAAACATGGCACAAATTCAATGGCATGCCAGCGTCCCTGACCATGTTTAAGTTGGGAGCTCACGTAGGCCCTGTGACCCCCGGCTATCTGTCACCCCGTAGATGCCTGCTGTTTCGGTGGAGCGACATTATCCATTCTCTATTCGCTGTCGGTAAAAATTACGCACATTTAGCTGGTCGCCGTCGGCCAATGATGTTTTCAGCGCGTTGTCCTTTGCTTCCTCTTTTTTGTTCGTCTCGCTGGCCAGAGGAGGGACATGAATGTTTAAAGAACTCGCAGAGCTCATCGCTGAGATGCTGGGAGAGTAGGGGACTGGAGGTAGCAAGCACACGCACAATGAATAATTTAAAGACCCGAGAGTTCTGGCATCATCAAATAAATGCCAAATGAGCAATCAAAGTGCCATGAAAGTCTACATAAGCAGAGCCTTCAACTGATGAGAAGCCGTAAAAAATTATATGCAAGAAGTAGCAAAGATGAGAAGAGGAGTGGAGGAGTGCAGGAGTAGAGGAGCAGAAGAGCAGAGGAAGCAATGGAGCGCGTAAACAGCAAACAAAACCGAAGAAAATCATTACGGGTTTTAAAACGAATAAATAATATAAAACAAGCAGAAAGACTATCTTTGGGGAACACGCTTTCAATAGACCTGCACATGTCCTTATGACAGCTTTATGATCCGATTTTGATCTCCTTCAGCTGAGCAATTCTATTGTGATTTTTGACTTTGAGTAGAGCAAATATAATTTATTACAGAGTAGTGCCTGCTTATCTGCATATCAGCAGATACCACTAGGTTTTTTTAGAGGTAAGAACAATGGGTGTTTAATGGGTGGTATTTGTTTTCTGTTCTCTTAACTTGCATGAATATTTGTGGATGAACTAGGAGACATTTATCAAACAGTTTTCACAATAGGGGATAGCGGTAACGCTATATTGCTATAACTAACGCTATATTAACGGTATATTTGTAAACTTTTATTTCCTCAAAATTCGGTAACGTACGTTAGATGGCTCCGCGGACTATAGCAAAAAAAAAAAAAAAAACCAGACAGGATTTTATATTTAACAGCTCTGAAACTTAACACTGAATATTTCTTATATTTGTAATAAATATCTTTTACGGATAGCCCTACCCTATTCGCATAGTTTTGCCATTTTATACACCAGCCTCAAAAACCAATTCTGTTTTTGGTAACGTAACAATGGGTCCCATTTTGGCTCATATCTTCAAAATCGTAGGCTAGATTATTGTCAGTGAACTATTGTGAATATAGAGCTACCAATTACTATATAAATAGAACAAGTTATGTTTAAAAATTTGACTTTTTCATAACTTTTTGAAACATTCTTTCGTACGAATGAAGCTCAACGTCAGAATGCAGATGCCTATTTGTCAATATTTTAAGAACATGTTGGTATCACATTTAATATTCCACGCTTCTGTTTCGAACTCGTTCCCTGGTGTTCTTTCAATACCGCTTATAGTGGGGGCCCAATAAATTCGTTAGTAGCATTAACCCCTTTCCCACTATCCTGCAGCAACGAATAACTTAAAGTTGAGGGTCATAAAACTTGCGTAGAGGCAGAATTTTCTTATTAAACTTATTGTTTTATTCCTTTTTTGTGTCTTTTCACTCAAACATACTTCTGAGCAAGTTATATACAAAAATGCTGCAGTTTTCCTCAGTTTCTAGAGCCAACTTCAGCTGCACGAGGAGTTCAGAAATACATAGGAGCATTTTTCTTTCTCAACTCTCGGTTTGAGCAGACAAGCGCCAGAGCAGGCACAGTTGTACATACCAATTGCTTATATTTCGACCATATGGTGCTTTGTGTATGGTACCCGGTCCTCAGACCCGACTCCTGCCCCCTTTGTCTTTTTCTGGATGTACATTTGGTGGCATTTATGGAACATTTGGTGCCCTGTTTTGTTTAAATAATATTTACCCATTGAAAAGATGTCAATAATGGTATTATATCTAAAATTAATTATGCTTGTTATTATGTCATTTGCCTAAACATAATAAGCTACCTAATTATAGCCCAAATAAAGTTGAAAGCATCATTCCAGTGGCTCTGAGAATAAAACCCGGAGCCCTGAGACCAATCCCAGGAAAACTTTAATCCCAAACAAATTTGCAAAATATTTGACCTCGAATCGAAATGACCTATTGCCAGTTGTGTATGTGTGTTGGGGCTCTGGCCTGGTGCTCGGCGCACAACAATATCTGTTTAATGAAAGGCAATATTCCTATCTTTGAGACTATGCTTATTGTCTATGATGCAAATAGGAGCAGCATTGTGCGCGGCATATGAACCGATACTGAAGTAAAAATATGTGGTCTTTCAGGGACGTGATGCAGTGAATACGCACCATATGTACATATGTACATCCACACATATGTACGTATGTATGTACATATATGAAACGTGAACTGCACTTTTAGCTTACTTGGCCAAAAGCCAATTTTCAGACAAAACGCATGCCAAATTTGCCGAAACGAAACGAAACGAAACACGAGAAATAGCTAAATATTTTATGATATCGATGAGGGAGGCTGTCGCTGTCTGGTCCACAGAGAAATCCCACAAACAGGCAAATATGAGTACAAACAGAGTTTGTGGCTCCTTCGTGCCGCTCGAAAAGCAGTTCAGCAATTTCAGTGCCAGTTAGCGTTAACTGTATTCAAATGTGCTTTTTATACACATTTTGGGCTAAGAATTCCTTCTGAATTGCATGCCAGTTAAGGTTTTATTTATATGTGTATGTACATATATTGTTGCATGACATACATACAGACATATAGTGGATGCAAATAGCTAGTTTGAGAAATCAATATTTGTAGTTTTATAGAAATAAATACTATATATAAACAGCTACATGGAATTTTGTAACTTTCTACAAGAAAGCGTATTTCGTATTCCGTATACCACTGATCCTCGTTTATTGTTGCGATTTTTTGATATTTTGTGAAATATGACTCCAGTTGCGTGAGGTCCACGGTAGGGTAGGGTAGGCTACTGTTTTCCCCCTCCACAGTTTATATTGTACATATTTCCCCATGGAAGCCTAAAAGTATTCTTTATTCCCCACTACAAAAGCTTTAAACTCACCTGCGCTCAGCTGATGGTGGCCACTCCCACTACCACTACCACCAGTGCTGGCTGCAGCTCCACCTCCACCTCCACCAGAAGCAGGTCTAGAACCAGGACCAGGACCAGCACCAGAACCACCTCCACCGTCTCCTCCGCGCTCTGCGCCATTGAGTGCCTCAATGGTAGAACGCTTCTTGCCCCTCCAGACGCTGACGCCACAGCACTCGGCACAGCAGCAGAAGACAAAGCCCAAAATCAGTAGTGTCCAGGCGGAAACCATTAGCACAATGGTCGAGGTGGATCGATAGCTGGAGTTCTCTTCCTCAAACAGCGCCAGCCTGCTGTCTGCCGTGCGATTGTCATAGCTCCCGCTGGGGTCCAGGGCCTTGGCATAGAAACCGTCCACATTGGCCAGGGCCGCATAACTGCTGCCCACCGTGAGCAGATAGGGCTGAACTTTGGTCAGACGAACTACTGTGAAGTTCGACATGATTGCAGCTTAGTAACTCAATCAGTCAGTCAGTCAGTCAATCACTCACTCACATAGGCAGCCAGCGAATCAATATGCCAATTTATTATAATAAAAACGTAGTTTGCTACACGAAATATAGCGAAACGAGCAACTGCCTCGCGAAACGTGACTGTTTCTTAGGTTACCCGCCAGCAACTGGGGCAACTGGGCAACTGGGCAACTCGGCAAATGGGCAACAGAGAAAAACGACATCCTCTACATTTTCATATATTTATATACGTGTTTTGTTCTTCCTTCTCGATGTGGATTGGCTTATTTGTCGGTGTGTGAAAATGCCCTGGGAACACCACAACAGCACCAACAACAGACGGCAGTGGTCTCCAAATTTTGCCTCTGCCGGCTTTATGCCTGCAATCTTCGTTATCACGTTGTGTATTTAAGCAGATAGATGGAGAGACAAACAGACGGATATACGGATAGACGGATAGACAGGCGGCAGCGCCAGCGTCAGCGACAGAGACAGAGCCAGAGACAGAATCTCATCTCTTGTTTAAACAATATGGTATATGTGTTAACGCCTGCGTGCGAGTCTATCCAGCTGGGCCTGTTTTCAGGTTTTCTTTTTATTAATTTTTGACTGACTTTTGTTTAATTGCGAGAGTTGCCACGACTCTGGGGGGGAACCAAAACGGCTTTGGCGAGAGCGGTTCGCGGTGATCGTCAGAGCTGCAGCTTTTAGGGCCAGCTATCCGTACAGTTATGAGGGACCTGTATAATTATCACATTTATGACTAAATTCTGCTAAATTTGTATTATATTTACAGTACAACGTCATCTGAAAGGTTTATTTTTATCACCCGTTCTAGGTACTATTATTAGTATTATGGCCAGTGTCTGTTCACTGCGTTTGCTGTTGTCCGGGGCTTTTCGAAAAATTTTCGGTACCGCTCTGGGCTGTGGTATGCGCTAGACCTTGGTGTAAAATCCCGTACATGAACCTCTTTTCTATGTTAATATATAGATCATCAACCTTCAATGATTTGGTAAACATACAACTAATATTTGATGTACATATGCATTTTCTGAAGGAATGGGCAATTAAAGAATGGTTTGAAGCGGTATTACAAGTCCTCTTTGCTTTATTGTAAATTTGTTGCCATTTACCGAAAATTTAATATTGAAAAACTTATTTAGCACAAAAAAATCCATATATATAATTAACAGGCTTAAGCCACCCATGTGACAGTAAAATTCTCTTTTAAATGGCTTTATGTTATACCAATAGATATTAATGGGACTCGAATCAGGGATTCAGAAAACCAAATAAAATACAATTAGTAGGTGATGGAAATCTTCAAGAGCATCCTCGATATTCCTAAAATAGCTAAAGGATTACTAACCAAACAACTACTTCCATATCACGATGGAAATATTATCAAAAACATTGTTACTATTTGGATGCAAAAGAAGACTTGACCTGTGCCTTGTGCAAAGGAAAAATTTCGAGAGAAAATTGAATAATATTAAACATAAATTTGAGTTCTACAAGTATGTGTTAATAGTAATTGCAATCAATTTGTGGTGACTTCTAGACTGCTCTTTTTCGTGTAAACTACGTGACACTCGAATTGTTCAGACCCGCTAAACAAAGATTCGTATTGGATGCATACACAAATGATCAACGAGAAAGGTAAATTTAATGATCAGGAATGAGTAGCGTATAGACTCAGATGGCTTTAAAGGATTCACAAAGACAGAAAACTCTAGAAATGTTTGGATAAATACTTGTTTTGTAGATTTAAGATATACGATACCGGATTGCGAACACTCTTACTATTCTCATAGAGTACATAGGTTTACTGGTGGATCTGCACGAAATGTATTTAGCCAGAGGGAAGCACATACATACATATGTACTTATATGTAGTACATGATCAGAATCTATAGCCGAGTCATACGAACGCTCTTTTGAGTGCATACTTTTAGGATGAATTCGCAGATGAAGTTTGTTTTCACTTTTTGCCATTGTCCTACCGCCAGACACGTGTGTCTCGGCTCAAACGTTTCCCATCCCCTGGCATAAGTGGCACTTTTAATAAATAGCGAAGTTATACGCTGCACGCCCACTAAAACAATTTTTGGCACGTTTCCTAAGAACACACGAATACCCCTTCAAGAACGCCTTGTTAACCCTTAACTGGGGATATGTGGGGGTCCTGGAAGAACTCAAATTAAAGTAGTAGTGGTAGTAGTAGTAGTAGTAGTTGTAGAGAGCATTGAAGTGTTTATTGTTTTTCATTGAAAGGATTTAAAAATGGGTTAGTCTTCAGAGGTATCCGTGTCCGTGATTGTCCGTGATTATTTTATTCAGATGCCACTGTGGAAGTGGGTCGCCGAGTGGTCCGTGGGCGTGGCGTGCGGGGTGTAGGCGTTGGGCGAGGGGTTCGCGTAGGGCGGGGAGTACGTGTGGGGCGAGGAGTGCGGGGAGTTGGGGTTCGCGGTGTGGGCGGAGTTCGCGTAGGGCGGGGAGTACGCGTGGGGCGAGGAGTGCGGGGAGTTGGGGTTCGCGGTGTGGGCGGAGTTCGTGTAGGGCGGGGAGTACGTGTGGGGCGAGGAGTTCGTGTGGGGCGTGGGGTCCGTGGAGTTGGGGTACGTGGGGTACGTGGAGTGGGTGGAGTGCGCCGAGTTGGACGTCGGGTTGGGCCGGACTGAAGGGCTCTTCTCACATTGTCACAGGAAAGTGTCCCGCATCGCACTATAGTCACTGCAAACATAATAAATCGATTGATGAATTAACAATTGGTTACACCATTTTTGCTGTACGCCGGACTATCCTTCGCGGGCTTACATTGACAGGTGGCTCTAGCCAAATCGCATCGGGAGATATCGCGCCAGTTGGCCTGACTCCTGCGACAATTGCTATTATAGATCTGCGTAACATCGTTGGTAGTTCCCAGGCGGTCCTGATTGCGCAGACACCTATCGTTCAGGCGCCGGCAAACGTCTGAGCCCCTCGGGGCCCTCGTCGTGGCCTGGCTAGCCACACATATGCAACCGATAGCTGGAACTTAATAATGTCAGAATTTTATGTTGCAACTGCGAGGTCCTATGCTCTCACCCAATAGCAAAGCGATTTTCCACATTTTGGTGTTGTCACTGAAAACTTACTGAAGTTCTGTGATGGAACAGTGCGGGTGCTTGGGCTTTTATAAGGAGCGGTACATATATTTTGGGAAACAACTGTTTTCTGTGTATGGGGAAGATTCCATTATTGCGAGTATCGGGAAATACGGAACATCAGTGCATTCAAATGGCTAAAAGACAATCAACTCTTATTGTCAAATATTTCCTTTGAGGGTTTTCGCCTTTTTTCTCTTTGTACTCGCATTGAATCAGTTTTATTCATTGTTTTGGAGAGATATATTGTTTCTGGTCGGTAGGTGCATATGTATATAAAAAGCCCGGACATGACTGGGTCTTCAGTAGTTATCAGAACTACATAGCAATTTCCATCGGCGAAAAATAGACGGAGAGAATGAATATCCCCATAGTTTTGGCTGTATTTGTTGGTGAGTCCGTACAACTATTCTGCCATTTGTTGGGACTACCCCTAGCTATTCCTGTCGTTTACAGTCGTCTGCGTAACTCTGATAGCTGGTCAGAGGGATGACTGCGAGCAACTGAAACGGGCGTGCGATAGCTGCGTGAATCGCCCGGAAAATGCGGGTGATCGGAACCGTAATCTCCCCACGTTGAACAGGGAGTGCAGGAGGAGGACTCGCAATACCTGGGTTTGGCGCGATATTAACCGATGCGAGCTTACCAGATTGAATTGCCTGGGTAAGTCGACTTAATATGTTGTACATTAAGGGCTATCCTAAGCGGTATTACCATTGTCTATAGGATCCGATCGCCGGATGAACTGCGGCGATATAGCTGAACTTGCCAGAATGAGACGTGTCAGGAACTGAGGCAGCATTGCCAATGGATAATGATGATAATTGAAAATAAAATCTACAAGAGATCATTGAAAAAATGCGGATTTTACACGTTTCATAGAGGGTATACTGGTTTTTACTAGATTTTTGCAGCTCAAAGAAGTAAGCACCACTGGAATTATTCCTCGGTGGCTAGACACAAAAGCGGAAAGGGGGAACATGGTTAAAATCAGAGTTGTTCTTATCCCCAGTACTCTTCGAGTTTTGGGATTTATCAGATGTGGATGTGTGTAATACCCAGAAGGATTATGAGTTGTGTCGGTTTTGATGCTTTCGGAGCTACATATTTGGATACACCTTACGTTAGGTTAGGTTATGGCAGTAGCGGGGTAGAGGGCCCGAACCTCCCCCCAGATCACTTGGACCTGTTAAAGGTCCGTTGTTCTTCCGCATGGCCCCTTCTCACTCACTTAACCGTGGTGGGCAAACTATTACATCTTACGGTCAGTCCCATCCGGAGGCTTGGTTGAATTTGGACAAGAGCCATGGTTCGATTTCGGACCTTTCCGACCTTTCCGCACGGACATCTTTTTCTTACCCAGAAAATAACCCTCTATACCATATATCTTTGTTCAAAATGCTTTATTGCTTCTGAAAATAGTTGAACAAAATTTTGAAAAATGCAGTAAGTAATATTTACAATATTTTTTATATATCAGCAAAAAGTAAACAAAATAGGACGATTATATCTGGTTTAAAATATATAAGAACGGGACGTATTTCAATATAAAAACCTAAGCTTTGGGGTTGAAATCGGAAGGCACAGGAAGCAGTAAAATATACAGTGGTGGCAGGAGGGAGCATAACGTCGCAAAAAATATAGTAAAAAGCAAAGCCGGAGACAATGGAAGCCATGAAAACGCCCTTTCTCTGATGGCCAGGGTCCAAGTTCTTGAAGCTCCACTCCTTTCCATTTTTTGTATTTTTGGATCTGCGTGGAAGTCTTACGTGCTCAAATTCAATTCAAAAGCGAAAAGCGATTATCACCGCTTAGCTGTCGGCGACACGAGTAAAAGTCAGCCGGAGTAAAAGTCCAAGTGTGAACGCCAAAATCCGAGCGCTTGAAGCACTTGACAAAGGGCATGGTTATATCTGTACATCTGTATATATGTATATTCATACATGTGTATGTATGTGTGAACATACTTTGTTGGCTCAAATAAAAAGTACACTTACAAGTGGCGCTAAAGCCAAGTGCAATGCATTCCCTGGCCCCTCTGTCTACAGCTCCAATTTCAAACCCATTCCAAGCTTCTTCCACGTTCCCATTTCCCTCTGTTCGCCATGGTCTGTGGAATCTTTGGGACGTCAGCTGGCCGGACATTTCCAAAGTGGAAAGCAGTTGAAAGGAAGGACTGGGGTCTACAGCAGTGGTGTGAGGTTGCTGGAACGGGTGCGGCAAATGTGGTCAAGAGTTTTACAAAGTTCATCATCATGGTCAGCATGGTCCAAGCATTTTTCAAGTGCAACTCAAAGAGATTTTCAATTTTCATATATTATGTAAGCAGTTAACACCAGCTGGCCGTAAATAGTATGACAACTTTTCTCCAAGACCGATGGATGTACACACTACACTTACATCGTTACAACGTTGCATATCATTTTCCCTTTGTACCTTATGCGAAATTCAAATTATTTGAATTCATTCCTTCTTAGAGTACATTCTCTAAAAGCGTATCTACACTTCGTAGAGTTTGGGCAAACACTTTCCAATCCCATTCGCTTTGCTACACATTCATAAAGTCCATAATCATGTTCATGACGTGAACTGAAGTGGGTCTCGGGTTTGGGTCGGGGTTGGGGCTTGGGCTGGGGTTGGGGTTGGGGGCAGCCCAGTAGAGTGGCTGGTAAGGATAAAAGCTTAAACCGCTACAAGTATTTAAAAATCACTTCACTCGAACACATTCGTTCACACAGCTTATGCCCGTATTGAAAGCAAATTGAAATGCAATGCTTTGTATTATTTATTCAACATGTTTCGCACAAGTTCCTTTTAACCAGCTAATTCGGTATGAATAAGAGTATGAATACATGTACATACATATGTAGCTGTTTAATCCGAATTTTGTACAGATTACTTACTGGAACCCAGCACACTCCTGGTTGTTAGTAAGTATATCTGAATAAGAGTGTTGTAGCAGTAGTTATAGCACTTATCTGGCCGAGCCAAGAGCTGTAGAGCGGGTCGCCATAAGCCCGAATAGTGGGCATTAGTTGCAATGAATACTTTTATTCTTTGACCCAGTCTAACATACACTGTCTTAGGGAAGTCTCTGGTTGTAATAATTTCCTTTGAAAAGTGATCCTTGATTATTATTATTATGATAGAAATGACAGGCCTGTAGAAAGGATGTGCATGACTGACTTATTGTTTTGCTGGGTTTGTGTCCACCTGTATCGTTTTCCTGAAAATGTCTAGTAGATTGATCATTGATTCCTGGAAAAGCCCTTGAACTGCTCTGGCTAAAGGGCTAAGAAAATTACAAACCCAACTCGTACTCGTGCAAAAATATATTTCTGTTTTGGCAAGTAAGATTAGCTCTACGCAAGTCGAAAATATTTGTAATAATATGCATGTTTTATTCACTCTAATATCTCTGCATGGTTTGTGGGGTATCATCCGGCCGGAGGGTAGGTACTTCTAGGTACGCCTGCGCATGCCAGCGAGTTCAGCAATGACCGCACAATCCAGCTTTCTTCTATGAGCTGGGGTATCAAGTGATATAATTAAATATGTATAGGCACATATATCTGTATTTTACTCACCCGAACAAGCAATCACCTGGAGATCGCAACGGGTCTGATTCCTCCAGTGGTAGGTGCGACGTAGCCTCTCACGGCACCCGTTGTTCATGAACTCCACATTATTGGAGGGATTGTTCAGTCGCCTCACACAGGACTCGCAGCTCTCCCTTAGGACCCGGCAGTCAGGCTGCTGAGCGTGAATGGCCACACACCAGAGGATCGTGAGAACGGAGAGAACGCTAAGGAGCTGCATCTTTCGATAGATCGGATCGGGATTGCTACTGATAGAACGGAAAGCTGTGGCGAGCCTTTTATAAGGCGCTGCTAATCTGGAAGCGATCGGTGGGGTCTCACACCAAGGCGTGGGGCATCAGTGTGTTTGGGCTTATAGAAACTTTTATCAAGTCGGATAAAGAAACAGATATATTTGCAATGCCACGACGAACCTCACATGCTTCCTTAATTGAAGCTATTGTACCAGAATGACATAATTCTCGACAAAAAGCAAACAAAAAAGGTGCCATAACTGCCCCAGCTGTAGCAGTAGCTAGACCATTTCAGCTGTTTCCTTACTGTTTCCATTACGTATTTCTAGGGTATAAATACCCAGGATGCATTGAAATGCCATCAGTGTAGTTTCAAGTGCCTTCTCAAAGCAAATCCAATGTCGAAACTTATTCTGTTGCTGGGTAAGCCGATCCTACTGCATGTGAATTAAGGAATATTACTAAGAAAGTGTGCATATTCCTTCAGCTGTCTGCTGCCTGTGCCTGTGCCTGACTCAGGTCCAGGCCCAAGCCCGCGCATTCTGCGATGGTCTAGTGGCCGAGTGCAGGCGCCATGAACGTGAGGTGGGCCCCAGGGACGATACCGTGGACATCTACAACCAACATTGTGCTCGCATCGATCGCACCTGGAGACGTATAACACGCTGTCAGCTAGTTTATGCCTCCTGCCTTCGTAAGTACCAAATTGTGTTTATATGTATCAATATTCTAGAGATTGTATCCTATTTCAGTGACTATTTTACGTTGCGACAATCTTACCTGCAAAAATGTGGCTGGAGTCCTCTAGGGTGCGCTAGGGTAATGAAAGTATGTAAAAACGGAATAAATATTTCCTAAAATATATCCATCATCGTCGAACTCAAATAAATGCAAGTAATAAGCACTATATACACCCATTGTACATGCTTTAATTATTTCTGTAAGCGTGCTATATGCATGTCAGGGGAATATTCAGTCTTAAATTCCTTTCTTAATACAACTAAGAAATCATACTCCATGGTGAATACACTTGTAATAGCATCACACAGGATGCTGAATACAAAATTGTGTGGCTCTATCTTTTACAGTCTCTGATAGACTGAACTCCATACATACATACATATTGTATATCGAATCGGCTATTGATGCTGATCAAATATATATTCAGTGCCGCTCAAGTGAATAGTTTAAGCAATTTTCAAAAGTAAATTGCTATATCCTTTCAACCAACTTACCGATTTTTATGAAATAGTTTGTATTTGATAGATTGCTTAATTGTTTATGAAACAAGAAAGTTTGCGTTCTCTAGGACTCATATTAATGAGAAATTGTTCCTCTTCTTCGCTCCTATTTTAGCTCAACTGAATAGGTTAAACGGCAATGATTTAATTTGTGGAGCAACGAATTATCGACAAACAGTAGGGTCTTCGGCCTTTTCAGTTTTCTAAATTAATAACTTCATGAAAAAAACTGCATTTGAAATTAGCATTGTCCATATTGCATTTTTCATACAAGAAAACGAAAACGAAAATTTGTTTTTTTTTTCAAAATGTTGGTCCATCATTTTTGTTCTATATTTTTCTTATACCTGAGGCAGCGCTATTTTGTTTGTTTTTTGTGCGAGATTGCAACACATCGCTCTAGAGTCTAGACGGCCTTGTTGCGTAAAGCTGTGCAGAGAGGGGGGAGGGGCCTGTTGCTTTTGGAATATTTTTGTAAGTCAAATTAAAGTTGAAAACCACCCAAAAAAGTTTGATAGTTTGAAAAATCAAATTTCATTTTGTAGTTTTTCCAACAAGCCAATTTTTTCCGCAATGAAAAAGGGTTTAAAAAAATAAACCAAAAAATAGAGACTAAAACAAGAACCATACCTGACTTTTTATTCGATCTTTAAGATGAATGAAAATTGAGTAAATTTCTGTTGACAGGAAAAATTAAATCTCGGAAAATTGTCTAACAGATGCGTAAATATATAGTATTCAAATTATCCAAAGCGCACTAAAGCGAATATGACTTTTGACACCTCCTTTCGGCTGAGACCCCACTTTGCCAACGCCTATATTTTCATATTTGAATTGAAATGGGTCGAAATGGGTAGCGAGATTATATGAGCTCTATTCTAAATCGGCGAAAAAATGGAGTAACATCAGACGATTCTAAAAGGAAAGTACAAAGATGATTTTGTTTGAAATGATGGAAAATATGGTACAAATATTGATGGACAACACCAGTGGTCAGGCGACTCATCCGTATAATTCATAACGTTTTGAAGGTGAGAATGTGGTGTTACTGTCGAACGCCTTATTCGCCTTATTATTTGAAGTGATTGAAATGGAAAAAAAAACACCTCTCAGTAATGCTCCCCACACAATTATGCCACTCGTGTAGCTGTGGTTTCTTGCTTTCGTGGGCCATGATAGTATTTCTTATAGCCGTCTAGTCCCTCCAGGTTGAACTTTTTGTAACGATAGTGTGCCACTCCTTGTTGCATGTCATGTGTGCTTTTCTAAATTGAAGGCTACACGCCTTAAATTTTTGCACTTATTCAGCGGCACTGTACTTTATGAAAACAGAGCTCATTAAAATTAAGTGTGTCAACACCTTTATTGTGCTTATATTATACCTTTTTTCTTTTAAAAAATTGTACAAAATAATCCAATAAAATGACGCCGGTAAAAATGAAAAAATTCCATAGAAAATTATCGGATGAAACTATTTGTCGTTTAAGAGTCATAATGGAACAGCTCTTAAGACTGTAGTCACCTAAAATTTTACTGCTGTGGTAATACATATGTACCAACAGGGTTCCTCTTCCATGCTTGATTGTTTCCTTAATCGAATGCTTTTCATTTGGTGGTGCCAAATCACCTTCTTCCAATCTTCCATGGTCTTCTAATTCTTGTGCTCCTTGTTAAATTTAAGCCGTATAAAACGTTGGTTCATTAGTTAAAATCGATGGGATAATGAAGAAAGAATATTATCTTTATATTTCGGAGATCGCTTTCCAGCAAAACGATAACCCGAAGCACACGGCCAAAATCGTAAGAAATCGTCCCAATAATCAGAGTTTTCACTTGATGCAGTGCCTTACTTAAAGCCTAGATTTTAATCCCATTGAAAATCGATGAGCTCTGCTAAAAGAAGATTGACAAAGACGAGTCTGCACAAAATGGATTAGCTGGAGAAGGAGCGCCGCGTGATACCTCGCGAGAACATACTAAATTAAGTCGAGTTTATGCCCAAACAAAAAAGTTCTTAAAGAAGCCGATCTTTTTTAATTGTAAGCATTGTTTTGGGTCAATTGAATAATATGTGTTATTAATAAAATGGCCGAACTTTCTTAGGAACGATGGAGTTAAAAATAAGTTAGTGTAAAAAAAATCTCTACGTTTCTAAAGAGAATGACCCCAATCAACCTTTGTGTAATTATATGCTTGTAACTTACTTAGTAACTTAATAAGTTACTTAGTATACTCAGACGAATAGATGATGTCATGGACTACCAGCTTGTTGGTTTCTAGCTTAAAGGGTATATAAACTTCGTCACGCCGATGGCAGCTTCCTTCCTGGATAATTATTGATTGAACATAAAATGATATGATAAAACAAGCCACCAGGACAGAAGGGAACCAAACTCTCAACTAAACTAAAGTAAAAATCTATTTCAATCATTTCCTGGCCACGATGCCAGTGACACGTGCCAAAACAGCAACAACAATACAAAGTTGAGTGGAGTTGGAGCAGAAGTTTTACTGGGTTTGTGGTTCCCCTGTTGAAACACCCAAACATACATGCATGTGCATAGATGTATGTATATATGTGGCACTCGAAGTCAAAATTTCATTACCAGTTTGATGTTGTAGTGGGGAACAGTTGTGCCCTTTGGCAGGGATTCAATTACTAAGAGGAAGCTGTTATGGAGCAAACGAGGATGGGATGTCGTCGAGGGGAAACCCCTTAATATTTATCTATCGCCAGTTATCAGCTAGTTGTTTTCCCATTTTAAATTTTGAGTTAATACAATTTTGATTGTTAGCCCGATTGAGGGTTTGTCTCCCAGTTTTCTGTAATGTGTTCTAAGCTAAGTTCAAGCCACTCGATGTGGCAATTGACTAGTAAAGATGCTAAGTTTTTATTTAGAAAGGGGCTTGACACATAGTTGAAAAAACTCCCGAAATTGTAGAAAAATAGATAAGCTGGTAATACGACGGGCTACGCAATTTGTCAGCTTTCTACTTTTGTCAGAGAGTGGTTTGGGGAGGCGGAGGCTTGTTTACACAGACCTTAGTCATGGAGCAGCTCGTAAAATATGAAAAAACACAACTGGATAGATCGTCGATGAAAGGATGGCTAAAGTTCAAAATATAACAATAATTATAATATTAAATCCAAAAACGGATCTTAACAAAAAGTTATTGCATTCGATACAGAATTTTGACTAGAAAAATCTAAACAAGAAAAAAAGTATTACAATTTCAAATTGCATTCCATAAAATAGTTGAGGAACTCATTTCTGGGGCAGTTTTGTTCTTCCCTCTATTCCGAATGTGCAAAATTTTTGAAAACTACTCATCTTTAATATAATTTTTGATTAAGTTAAATTCTTGAACAAAACCCCGTCGAAGGCAGTGCTCGTAAAATTCCGTCTGAGGGTAATCGAAAGCCCGCGCCCCACGACCAAAACCACCCCACCGCGCAGTGCATCAAGCCACCCCATTTGGCAGCTTCTCCTGCGACAGAAAAGGGCCCAGCCAAGCCATCCAAGCAGGCCCAATGATGGGCGCACGTTTTGTTGCAATCCCAATGAGGAAATGCTAATCCGCATGTAATATTCGAAAATGATATGAAAATGCCGGCCCAAACAACCACCCACTAAAGGAAGCTCGCCGAGAACCCCTGCTAGAGGCGGACTTTGTCTCGAATCCGAATCCGAAACCGAATCCGAGGCAAACGCTTCGTTGAACGGAACCAACATTACTCAATGTCAACATCAAAATTGCTTTGGAATTCATGCACTAATTTATTTTTGGTCCAACAAAAAAGAAACTTACGCAGTATAGAAATTTTCATTTTGGATGAATTTTAATTTCGGGATTTCTCCTGGGTACCCCTTAAATAGCTGAACACCCGGTCTCTGGGACGAGGGGGGTCTTTTCATGCTGATTAAAAGTGGCAACTCTGCCTGCGGGGTGGGAATGTTTCTTTTTTTTTTGGGTTTCGTATTGCAACCTTTTCCACCTTGCCATTGCCCTTGCCCTTGCCATCGAAAGGGGGCTGAAGCGAGGCTGAGGCTGACTCATCTGAATGCTGCACTTGTCGGCGGCTCCCCGTCTATAGAAAATTTCGTCACAGACAGACGGTGGCGTGAAATTTCGTAACGAATTCTGTAAATCTTTCATTGTTATTTCTGTAAAGGAACATTATAGATGCCATCCTATACATGGGTATGAGGAATGTGGCAGGGAAGTTTGTTTTTTCTCAAAAATGATTAGAGTTCAGTTGGTTGTTTCGCGGGTGGAATTTGTGGTGGCTTATTGGGGGGGTGGGCGGTGTGTACCCTGCCTGAATGTCTGCAACAGCTGCTGCACATGGCCCGGAATGTGACCACAACACGGCCGCATAGAAGTCACGGTGGAGAAGGACGACCAGGCATTGGTTTGGCTTACTACAGTAGCAATATGTACATATTTACAGAGAGTGTTTTCTCTTTACTTAGTAAATGGGGATATTGAGACTTGAATGGCTAAAGATTTTACAATCCAATTAATACGTTAATCCCATAATCCTATCAAAACTCGCTTCAAACTC